GTTTGCATTATAAAAAAGTATATTGTTACGAAATTAATAGATCTATCACTTTGTTAGATACGCTATAAGAATAAAAATTACAAAAAAGGACCTGATATGTATAAAGTAAAATGGTAAAGTATTGCGCGCAGGTGTGTGTAATTTTCAGGTATGAGAAATAATTATGTAAGACGCTCAAACTGGCTACTAGAATATTGAAATTTTTTTGCAGCACTTATCAACGCTTAAGCGTTCTGTAATTATTTTGATGGTTCAACAAAATTATTTTCAGATTTGTAGTTATTCTCTAAATTCTTTGGAGTGAAATTTAATTCTAAAGAGTGAAAATTGATCCAATCTTGAAAATGAGTTACTCAATTTTCAATATTTAAGAGTGAGACTTTACTTTTTAGAGTGAGATTCACACACACAGTCTAAAAGTTTGAGAGAGAATAGAAGATCTAAATTTTTAGATATTTTAACATAATCGTATTTTCCATCGTGCGTTCCTTATTCCTTAATTTATCTTTCTTTTATTTTTTTTTTTTATTCATTCTACCTTCGCGGTGCATATTCGCTGTGAGAGTAGTGCTACGATCGGCTAATCTCGTGATTAAGTAATCGTATCGAGAAGAAAGGGAGGTCGGACGCGAGGGTAGGTACCGTGTTATAATCTACAGCGTAATAAACGCGCGGAGCCGTGTGGAAAAATTCGATCGAAATGCATTAATAATGGGAGAACTAATGCGACCCTCCATCCGTTGCCCATCGGCCGATATTACGTGCATACGGCTCGTAAATGGACTAATTACTCAAGATTACGTAACAATCGTGAGCGCGCGGGCACCTTCCTTCACAACGTCATTAGTCGTTTCGCGTATATCCTCGGCACGTTGCGGAATAATATTTGCCCGATGGGCGTCGAGACGTTTAAGACGGCCGATTTAGATCTATCGCGAAGAGATAGAAAGAGAGAGACCACCATCCACGCGCCTCGCTAAAACTCAATCCTTTCCAATCGACGCAAATCGAGAGATCAGGGAAAACAGCCTGCCATTCCCTTGGGTCGCGCGTCTCTAATTACCCTGACTTTCAGGCTTGCCTCGTTAATTACCATTCGGTAATTAGACTCGCGATGTCAAAAAGGTGACGTTAATATTCTAGGATGACTGGTTTTCTTTCTGCGTCTAACCGCGGTACTACGGTTGTTACAGACAATGCGAACGCCAGCTGTAAACGACGACAATCCATTTTTCGCGAGATATACGCGATGTGCGTGTTACTCTATTATTTTAGTACAATGGAATGAATCGCGTTGAAAGATAGAACGCGCTTTTTTTTAGACAAAAAATGATTCTTTGCTCCATCTACGAAGTCATCGTGAAGATACCGAAAGCGCAATTTCTCGTTAAAATGATCTCACGGGCGATCATTTGCCCCTTCGTACTACAATAAATTAAAACGTCCGATTTATAAAGATTAATCGTCCCTAATGCACATAATAATAAATGTGCGTTAACTCTGAACCTCGTTTCGCAGTTGGGGAATCGCGACTTGGCTCACGCCCCACGACGCGATAATTGTTCCGACCGAGTCTTAACACCGGCCATTTACAAGGGCAAATACCAAATTAAGGGTTAAGCATCGATCCCGCTTTCCTCCTCACCTGACCGATCCTCACGATAATAACACTCCTTGTCTTGACCCTGTGACTTACGACCCTGCAGCTAGCTGAGACTACCCTCGAGCTGAGCTCGAGCCTCACCGCGCGGAGATTCGCGGACAGACACGCAGATATTAGGTTAAGTAAAAAGTCATCGCGTTTTTTTAAAAGACGTCTATCAGTAAAAACCGCAATTACTTTCTTACCAACAATATAAATATATCTTAATAAAGTAAAGTTTCAGCTTTAAAAATCTCTTTTTTAAATTATACGATACGACAATTTTTAATGGAGTTATGAGCAATTAAAGTCAAAATAATTCTTTTATTTAATCCGCGATAACTCAGTAATCAAAAGTCGTAGGAATATTAAAAAAAAACGATTTTGTAGGGAAAGTATCAAGCTTTCACGATAGGTAATCGAAAATTTTCTCAAATTCGTTTTGGACACGTTACAAATCCACAAAGTGAGAAGAAAATTTTTCGTCTTTTTCAGCTCGTAGTTTTTGGTATGTAAAAATTATCAAACTCATATAAACTTAAAAAATGTGATAAGCTTTTAAAAGTAGAGATTTCAAGCTTTAAAACCCTTTTTTTAAATTTGAATTTCATTCATTATTGACGAAGATATTGTATATACAACTTTGAGTTAAAAAATACGCGATGACTTTTTACTACACCTAATATATCGATCAAATCGCGACGTTTTCCATGAGATCAGACCTGAAGAAAGACGAGCACGTCGTCGCCTTCGTCGTTGAACCGACTGGCCTATTATCCGAGTTCAACCGGCTGCAGATTTAATGAGATTGCGAACCAGCCGCCCGATCGTAACATTCGATTCGCCAGTCCGTCTTCGTCTCGTGTTGCACGAAGCGGATGAACTTGATGGCGATTACGTCATCGCCTTACGACCGAGCCGTATCCGTAATACATCTGGAGCAATTCCTTACTCCGTCTTTCAATTTTGTTTGTTCCTATTTCTTTCGTGGGTCACACGATATCTAATCGTTTTCCACAGCATAGTATGGCATAGCGAATATAGAATCGAAATGACTTTAATATAAGTAACTCTGATCGGTATTCATGGATCCAGTGAACATTTTCTTCAGTTATGTTATGAAAAATTGTTTATTAATCATTTTTACAATCTTACATGATTTTAAGTTAAATAATCTTATTCTTCAGATTTTGACTTTTAAAATGGCAAAAATTTAAACAAAGTTACATTAATTTAAAGTACACTGAATCCGCAAATATTAGTAGATTTTAGAGCGAATATCGATTAAACAGTAAATTAATTTTTAATCCTTAAACGCCACTGCAGGAACACTTGGTATCCTCAAATAATTTGATTACTTATAACTTTTATATTTTGTAATTAAAATTAATATCCTTAGAGTATACATTGCATTTTATTCATAGCTCAACGACGAATTATATTATGTATAAAAATTACACAAATATAATAAATATATAATATACATATTTATATTTTGCCAAGTTTATTTTATGAATTTTTCAAAATACATTTTTTAGGATACTAATTAGAGCTTTTATATTTTTTTATATTATTTTTACATCGTTTGATGTAATGAATATCTCTTACTTTAATCACAACATTATTTAATAATTTTCAATTTCTTTAAATTGCATATTAAATAAATTCAAAGCTTATAAGGTTATAAAAATTATTGCCAGAAATCAGAAGGTGGAGAAAGCAGTTCTACCATTTTGGATGTCATATTATGGAAGTCTATAATATTCCTGCAAAGTCTTTTGGTGCAGACAATACTGCTTTTGGAGGTGCAGAAGCAAGTGTTGCATCCATCAAAGTATTGTTTTTCTGGTATGCATTTTCGTTCCGGCGCTATATAAATTAAATGATGAAAAAAAATGATGAAAACGAAATTATTAATTTCCATAACTATATATCTCGCTTGAGCATAACTTAAATAATTGATTAATCATATTTATCATATTTGTAAACATAAGAAACGTTAGTTACTCACCTTGCGTAGCTGAAATCAAACCGATGATGCTAATGATTATAAGTATCACAAATATTTGATATTTTGATGTCATGGTTTTAGTACTTCATATGATTCAAACACTTCAAGCGTCGACTTCTTTTTGACGGAGCCTGGTACGACGAGTCTTTATATAGGATCCCTCGTTTACATATTTCTTGCGTGACTAGGGATACGGTTCACTTGGCGCTACAAATGCTTCGAAGCGTTTGATTGACCAATCGGAAGAAAGAATTTTATTAATTGATCAATCAAAAAATACTTCAAAGCATTTGTAACATCAAGTGGCCTTTGACATCTGGACTGTGTTTTCTTTTTATGACTCGTGCTATCTTTTTTTCTCACGAGTAGACTGGTCTGCGCCGAGTGGTTATAAGACACGCTTGGAAAGTCAAACGCTCGTTCAAACAGAGTTTAGAAACAATGTATACGTAAGCGATGACGCACCAGATTATCGCACGTATATGTAAATGCTTCATTAGCACCTAACCGTTCAAATACGCAACGAACTGATATAGTTTACGTGGAATCTCGAAGGTATCCGAATTTGTCATGTATTGCACGCGGTTAAAATAAAATGAATCAGTATATGTCATTCATAATATTTTCGAATATTTAATTCTTATTTACAGACTATAGATAGAGGATAGAATCACTACACTAAAAAAAAATTTGTTTACTCTAAATAATTTGTTTCTTTAATAGTTTCAAGTAAACAAATTGTTTATATATAGAGTTAGAAAATTTTTTTTATCAACATCAAAACAGTGAATTTGTATGATATTTTAATAATTATTTTTACACTTTGTATGCAATGCAAGGATTAATGTAAGTTTCTTGACTGGCGAACGGACAATAGCTTTATAAATATGTATTGCGTAGTGTGACTTGCGCATTTTGATCATTATCATAATTAACGATATGATAATATCTGATATTATATTCTAACAAGCTGTTTTATTGATAAAAAATGTCAAAGTTATTATGCTGATGGAATCAAGATTACTATTTTCAATGCAAACAACTTTACTTATCGATCCAAAATTAGTGTAATAGATAAAAATATGTGATATCTCAGAGAAATGACTAATTTCTGAACAATATATTATACGTATAAAAAACGCACGCACACACGTATATATATATTTATAAAATATTTTTATATGGTGAATGAAAAAACAAATTTATATGTATCTTTTTTTATTATTTGAAAATTTATATTATTATACATTGAGACTTATCGATGGAAGAGTTGAAACGCTAGACTTTAGCATAGCCACATCAGTGTATCAATTACATCTCTACATTGAAGCAAAGTATTCTTATTTGATTGGCATAAGTCCTGGAATCTCTGGATATTTAGTTTATTCACATAAACACGGAGGCTTAATGAGACGGATGCCACCACACCATCTAGTAGTGCATAACCACTTAGATTCAGCTAAATCACAAAGACAGCCATTGCATCCGTTATAATAAGAAAAACCGCTTTCACATTTGGGCAATGGTGCATCTGTGAAAGGCAGATATTTTGACATTATTTTCACATGCTGTATTAGATGTCATTAAAGAGTTACCAGAAAAATAATTTATGAAAAAGAAATAAAGATTTACCTAATTCTCCTTGAATTGAAACGACCAATGTGATCATCACGATCATCAATGTGAAGATGATGTATTTACGTGACATTTTACTCTGTTTGCTTAATACTTTCGTTGTATTACGAAATATTTGGTTCGAGTATAATTTGTTCACTGAGGCAAGCCGAATACGATGAGAGATTTTTATACTGTTCATTTTGATCAGGATGTATGATTATCAGTATGATAAATACGATACAAGCGTATTATTTTATTGATAAAAGGAATCATTATCAAATTAAAACTTCCATTTTCCTTGAATTGAAGTGGATTATAAATTGTTATCTCATCTTGATTTAAAGCAGATGTAATAAATAAAAATATAGAATGTTTCAAGGCGAATAAGTACTATATTATAATGTACATTGTCGCATAATCGATTATACATCGATACATAACATTTCGATAATTATTTAATACATTTTACAGTTTAATACAAATCTGTTTTTATACAATAGAAACATATATCTAACTTCTACCTTTAATGTCTAACTTTCTTCATGCTATATAAATGCAGATTAGGATATAAGTCTTGCAATATTATTTATGTTGTTAACAGTATGCAGCACATGCAAAATTCATGAATATAAAATTTATGGTACATGTATTTCTAAAACAGAAGATGTAAATATGAAAACATGAAATTTATGTTGTCGTAAAATGCTTAAAGATATGGATTTTGGTTATGCTAAGTATACACGGATAACAAATGTCTACGTTAATATTCCAGTGTGATTGACAAATTTTTTCACCAATTCAGCTTCGAGAAACACAATTTTTTTCTTTAAATAATAAGGATATTAACATATTAATATCGACATTAGTCTATGTTATCGTCAAGATATTCTCATAGTATTATTTATCTGTTACAGGCGAAAAGCCATATCAGTGCACGTGGGAAGGCTGCACGTGGAAATTCGCACGATCGGACGAGCTGACGCGGCACTATCGCAAACATACGGGCCAAAAGCCGTTCAAGTGCCATCTCTGTCAGCGATCGTTTTCGCGGAGCGACCACTTGTCGCTCCACATGAAGAGGCACTGATGGTGAGGACCGCCTAGAGCTGCGTCGATGTGAGAGAAAGCGCACGCCGATCTGCGGGAGGAAATAGAGGAAAGCTGGAGAACGGTCCTCGGTAATCGGCTAGTGATCCTGAGCAATCCTAGACGAGAAACGACGATATTTCTTACATTTGGGACCTGAAGAGCCATACCATGTGTCGGCCCGTTTCGAACTTTAGGTCGGACCGGCCGGCTGGGCAGGCAGCAACTAGGAAAAAGAGAAAATAAATCGACGAAGCAAACAAATCGCGTTTATTAGATTTAGCGCTTAATCGCGAGCTAAGTAATCGTGGCGCCGATCAATTTTGGTCGGCTGATTCTCTCGGTGCTGTCTCTCGCAAGCCTTTCCGACGGGATCTCTGCGGAAAAGAATGGCCACAGCTGCGACAATTGAGCCGATGTCGGAATTACGAGGGTCGAATAATCGCGAGGAAAGATAATCGTTTTATCAGTTATCGGGCTTTGACGAAGGCACGATTATGAGAAAGGAAATGATCCGCTTGTGCGATCGAGATCGCCTACAGATTCGGCACGATGAGACGTATCGTTACATATATCCGTTCTCTTCTGTGTTTCTAGCCAATTTTTACTCGTTCGATTTTCCAGTTTGTTTTCTTTATATATATACATTTAATTAAGGCCAGCTCAACTAGTCTAGAGCACCATATATTGTATGTATCGCGAAGAAGAGAGCCAGTATAATAATTAATTAATTAATTAAGGTAAATAAATGGTTAGCATGTAAGTTAAAGAATATATCGAACTCCGGTGACGGAGCTTGGGACTTAGCATGCTCAGTTAAATAAACTACAATCGTGATCGTAGACACTACGTAAAGCATTGATAGAGCAATTTTTCGATTATGCACAAAGAATTTCGCGTTTAGAGACGGACAATCATTAACGTTTTATTACGTAGTAATGAAGCGTGATATATAAACGTCGGCATACCAGAAGCCAGTATTACGTAACAAGCAATATCACCGATGGCTTTATATGTATGATGCTTTCCAAAAATCTCTTTTCAATCACAGAAAGGAAGAGCCTTCTTCGATCGTAATTCGCAAGTCGTTAAATTTGAATTCTACGCGTAAAGGTGCCAAAATAGAAGGTGCAATCACGAGATATAAGACGTAAATAGTGCTTTACGAAGAAGAATAAGCATAATCGAGTAAATTATTCTTTTCTATGGCGCCTTGAGATTTTCAATCCTGAATGCATTGTAAGTTTCATGCAAACACTAATTAGTGACAGTGTTACTCCGCATTTTACGTAGGCATCCAGTATGAAGACTCAGCAGCTCAATAAATATCCATTTGGGCGTCAAAATATATGCTCAAACATCTTGTGTTGATTATCGAAAGAACGATTTACTGTTTATATATATTTATATCGTTCTTTACGATTTTCTATTTACAAATGATGATCATATCAGGATGCCTTGACACTTTGAATTGGCGATTTCAGGATTACTAGGTCAAAAGGGCAATTTAGGCTTTACATTTTAAAAATTATTTAATTAGTTACTATTGGATTAATTAGTAGATTTCGATAGAAATTAGTTTGTGTAGGGAGACAGCAATATTTAGCCACAAAGTTTTGTATTAACAAATTAGTAATGTATATTTAAAATCAAACTATGGAGTGTTAGTCATATCTTAAATGCCAAAAATAACAATGAACATTTAAAATGGCCATCTTACCTTTGATGTTAGAGTCACCTTTGGTGTTAAAGCGTTTTGGAAACATATCATATAAGCTGCGTTTCTTTTCACGGATAAATTCTTCTAGCCAATAAAGCAGTCTTTAGTTCATCAATTGGTGAAAATCGTTTATTGTAGAATCTTTTTGGTATTCTAACTATATGTTCAACTAACCTTTTAGAATTTGTTTTTCTTAAATATACATTATTACCCAAGTTGACGTTATTTATTCGCTGATCATTAAAATAATGATTTTAACATCATTTTGATGTTAAAATGACGTCTTTAATGTCAAAATGGTTACAAATGGCGTTTGATACTTGGGTAATGATTTGATAAACATTCAACTTTGTGACTAAACTTGTTGTCGCCTTGTACAGTTTTTGATTTAATATTAAGAGTACAAAAACGTTAATAGAATTAATTGCATAATGTGATGTAAACAGTGTATGTTTATTTAGTTTTTATTTCAGTCGAACGAAAAGATGGATTGGCTGTTGAAAATTATACCGAAGATATCGAAATCGCTTATTCCGCGTGTCAAACAATTGGACGTTAATGGACACGAAAATCTCAATGCGCTCGCTTGATATCGTAATACATTGTATACATAATCTCTAGAAACTTTGCGAAACGCGACATACACTGTGTAGGTGGCAGATGTAGCATTAGCCTGTTTCTTTAAACCGCGTTTACGCCGCTGCATGAGCGCGGCTGAAGTTAGTTGGGACACCTATCATGAAGCCAGTTGAGACAACGGAACAAGATGCCAGTATATCCTAGAGCCAGTTTATATCATTAGAGAGAAAACCTCCGCGTGTAAGATTAATGCGAGGGTCGATAAAATTAACATTTGTTACGTGTTGTACTCTGATAGGGGATAGTGCCTTCTAATGTTAAGGAAGGGGGACGCTGCGTTAGGCCTTAAGTATTACTGTTAGTGCCTTAAGTCACGCGAATCTTCGTGCTTGTACACCTTTCATAATCCGATCCTACGAATCCTCGCCCGGAGGACCAGTTCGGCGCGCTTTATGGTATCTTCCCTGCAGAAGTTACTAATCGGATGTCACCTCGACTCACATGAAGCTCTGTTAAATATGTACGAAGTTTTCGGGATACCAGACATTGAATCCGGGAATGAAAACTCAAGCGAATGAGGAATGAAATATCATACTCGTAATGATTTTTAACGAAATTTTTAGTTATCTATTGAATGTCGAATAGAGCAGCTATGAGATTTGGCATATTGGTACATATTGACATATCTGATATTCCTGGCGGAAAGAGTGACAAACTTTTTCTCTTTTTTTAATTTCAATCGAAATGTTGATCATTCATATATACCTATATTGTTATATGATTATTGATATAATCGAATGTATTATTTTTTCTTTCATATAACTTTTACAGTTTAGAAGATTACTTATGCATATACAAATTACTTATACATCCTCACACATTTCTGTGTAGATCTCATTGCATGCTAAAATTTTGGAATATCCAGTGTATTTCACACACTCCTTAACATATCGCATGAATTGCTTTTTTTGCATAATTTACTATGCAGGCTGCTGGGCTGCAGTAGAATCTTTATAGGCGAACTGACAATAGTCACGTTTTCATAATATGTATACGAATTATTTTCGTACATTGTTATCATGAAATTCGATAATGAAGAAAATATCCAAGATACTATTTTGATCGTACTAATTGTTTATCTTTGGGGAAAATATCTCTAAAACGGTCGTCAAGAAAAGCGCCGAGCTCCACATGAACAGCGAAAATGTTATTGATGTTAATATTAATGTCATAACAACACCATCTTTTACTTTCGCTCATATGTTTGTGCTGACGCATGTCGTCACCTTGTCCTTTGTGCGCCTTTCATTCAAATTTAGATTTCAGATTGCTGTCTGAATACTCATATTAACGGAATATCCAAATCCCTTTTGCGATATTGAGGAAAATTAATTAAAGATTGGGCCTTTTAATTTAAACTATATCCCGAACTTGTTAAATAATTGTTTTTGTAACCTTTCGTTAAGATTATCATCTTTTAAGTTGTCTTTGTTGAAGTTATCTCATTTGATTATCAATTTTATAATATTCCTGTTTATGTTTACATAATATTATATCCAATTTAATTTCTTAGATAAGAGCTAATTAAAAAACTTTATTCAATTGTTTTTTTATTTTGAGCATTAAATTTTTCTTTTTTAGATTCTTTGTGCATAATAATAAATGTCTTTCAAGATTCATAAAACGTGATTTTGTTAATAAATGTGGTTAGAGATATATATAGTTATAAATATATATATAGAAAATTACTTATACATTCAACGTTTAAAAAAAGTTTATTCAATAGATGTGTACGTTTTCGTAAAATATTTGCTCACCTGCTCGCGTTCGGCTAGAAAAGTGTTTTTATATTTGCATGCGGCACGTGGCGATCGTTATTGCTATAGGTTTAAGAAATGCTCGAAATGCATGAAATAGATAGCTGTTACGTGCGTTAAATGCCGTCCTTTTACGAAAATATAGAAACGAATCATTGAACATTCCTGCAATTAGCACGAGAATTCACTCAAGTTTTTTGCGCGAAATTTTCCGTCTTTAGGGATTTCGATATTCCGAAAAAAATGAAAAGGACTAGAGGATTTACATTCCCCGAGCACACACGTTCCTATATCGAAAAGTGCGTGTAGCTTCAAGAAATTCAATGCTTTACGCATATTCGAGTA